TTTTTTTGGCCAGTTGCGTTAATTTGCAAAGGTCCACCTTCGTTCTCAGGGCAGCCTTTTCCTGTCCTTTATTTTTTTATTTTTATGTTTTTTGAAGGCCAAGAGAACAAAGTCCAAGGTTGAAAAAACGTCCCCGGAAACGAAAGCTGACAAAAGGAAACCGAGCCCTACAAAGCCGGATTCCGACTCCCGGAAAAAAAAACCTTTCCTTGTGGAAAACACGGAGCCTTTGAAACCCATCAAACAGGAAGCCGGGCCAGTAAGGAGAGGGCTGGACTTCCTGGAGGAGGAGGAGGAGGAGGAGAGGAAGAAGAAGAAGCAAGTTCCCAAGGCGGAAAAGAGCTCGGCTCATGAAACGGATCAAAACAGAGAAGTGTTATTGTGGGTGGACAAGTACAAGCCTACCTCTCTCAAAACGATCATCGGGCAACAAGGCGAGCAGAGCTGCGCCAATAAACTCCTGCGTTGGCTTAAAAACTGGCAGAAGAATTCTTTCGAAGACAAACAGGGTAATTATATATTTTTGGCAGTCTTTGACTTACAACCATTTATTTAGCGACCGTTCGAAGTTACAATGGTGCAGGAAAAAAAGGGACTTAAGATCTGTCATGCCCTTGGTAGAGTCGGACTCTGAGGGAGAGGAGGAACAGCTGACAGGGAGTGGAAATGTGGTTCCAGAGGTTGTAGAGGAGGCTTGGGAAAGGCAGAGGCCGGCTGGGCAGTCAGAGGAAGAACCAGGCCCATCCCCTCTGCATCCTAGGACATGCAGGGAGGGAAACAACTTGGCTTAGGAGAGAGGAGGCGGCCATGATCCCCCTCATTGGTTGCAGCTGGGGAGAATAGTACATAAGAGAGACGGTTAAAACACAAGCAAAGCGTGTGTTACTTTGGGCTGAAGTTATCTTGGTTGGCGTCCTTCCAACAGACAGTGCCTTGTTATTTCCTTGAATTTGGTAACTACTTATCCTGGTCCGTTGTGGAATTTCCTTCATTGTAGTTTGTTTTGTTTTTTTACTTCACCTTCATCTGCTCATTGAGTTTGGACTATATTGTTTTCTTTTGAAGACTATTTTTGAATAAATTTAATCTCCAGCTGAGAATTATTGAACAGTGGGGCCAAGTTAGAGGCATTAAAGGACATTTATTTACGTTTTGGATTTTGTTACGTTTGTGTTACACTCCGGGTTATCACAAGATCATTCTTCCCCCTTTCGACCCATGGTCTCGTGATCCAAATTCAGACGCTTGGCAACTGGTTCACATTTACGACGGTTGCAATGTCCCGGGGTCTACGCGATATCCCCTTCCAACAAGCAAAAGACCTTGGGGAAGCCAGATCCCCTTAACACACTAATTTATCAACTGAAGGGATTCGATTAACGAGTGGCGAGAAAAGGTTGTAAAATGGGGCAGAACTCACTTAGCAATGGAAAGTTTGGGGGAGGGGGTTCAATTGTGGTTGTAAGTCAAGGACTACCGTTAACCTTGATTCGCTGTAACTGGTAGGCCAGATTGGACACAGGATTACCAATTGACATTCAGCTGTGAATTTATTTAAATCCTTTTTTTCCCCCTAAAGCACTAAATGATAGGAAAATGAATTAGGCTCCTGGAAAACAAGATTGGATGCTTCCCTTGATTAAAATAAAAATATCCTTGAAACAGGCCTGGATCATTTTTATCTCTAAGATGCTGGTTCTGTTTATACAGACCTTTTAAATGGGAGGCATTTCACATATGATGTCAACAGAGTATAGATTAGATTAGTGTTATGAAAGAACAGATTAAACCCTAAGACATTCATGTTTAATTCCGTCGTTAAAATAGCATCAGTAGAAGAAACTTCAAACATTTGAATCATTGTTTCCAGGCTTGCCTAAAAGTCCTTAAAAATGCCAAGCACACCCTGTTAATCTTTGTTTTGGCTTGGTAGCAACTTGTAACGGGAATGTACAAAAGGAAAACTCTTCACAACTGCAGTGTTTTCTCACCTGGGTATCTGGCCACATCTAGCCAAGCTTCTTCCTCGCTGTATTTATCAAGCAGGTGCATCTTAAGAGAACATTGAATGGCATGTTCAAATTGAATTAAATATGAATTGAATTCTTTATTGTCATTGTATGTATATACACAGTATACACATACAACGAAATTCACATAACACCCAGAGACTAGATTCAATATGCACAAACACGACAATCCCCAAACACCTCCCCATCCACCAAAATTCCCCACTCCCTAAAAACACACAAGCATCCACACAACAGACCAAGTAATCCTGTCCAACAGCTCACTGATGGTGGTCCTTAAGTTCATTGTTAAGTGCAATTATAGCTCTGGGATAAAAACTATTCAGAAAACGTGTGGTCCAAGTTTTAATTGCTCTGTATCTTCTGCCAGAAGGCAGCAGTTCACAAAGATTGTGAGCAGGATGGGAAGAGTCTCTGAGAATGTTGTGCGACTTCCTTAAACAGCTATGGGAATTGTTCCTGAAGCTATGAGACTTATTCTGTAGGCTGTGTAATTGGAGTTATTTTATTGAATGAAGATTTCACCTGTCCTTCTCTCTGTGTCCCATAACCAGCTAAAAATCCCCTCCATTTTCTCCACAGTCAAATCCAGTAAGTTTGGAAGCAAAGATGATGGTGCTAGTTCCAAAGCAGCTTTGCTTTCTGGGCCCCCGGGAGTAGGCAAAACCACAACGGCATCGCTAGTTTGTCAGGTGAGTTGTGTTTTCACACAGGTAGGTTTGCAAGAAGAAGAGGTGGCAGATCTAATCTGCATGAAGTTGAGGTTTTCTTAGGGTTTTTGGGGGGAGGGAGAATGAACAGTGAACAAACATTTGTTAAGAAAGTTACGTTGCTCCATTTTATGGCTTTTCATGCCTCGGTCGTTAAGCAAATCTGGCTCCCTCATTGACTTTGCTGGTCAAAGGGGATTGTGTAACCCCTTTTGTGACCACTGCAACCTTCGTAATATGAACCAGTTGCCAAGTGTCTGAATTTTGATGATGTGACCATGGGAAGGCTGCCACAGTCATAAGTGTGAAAAATGGTCATAAGTCACATTTTTCAGTGCCGTTGTAAACTTTGAACGGTCACTAAATGAAGCTTTGTAAGTCAAGGATTACCCATATAATGTCTCTGCCAGTATTTGCACCACTACTTTTCAACCATTAAAAGGCTTGTCTATGTCAACTCATAAAATATTTCTATGGTCATTTTAGAGTTGCCAACAGAAAGGGAGGGGGGAAAGAGGTTTGAAAGAGCAGTGAGGCAGTTTGGAAATTGCAAGTGCATTCCATAAATAGTTTTTCAAAGATAGTAACTAGATGCCTGAAATTTCTGCCGTGCAAAATTCTAACTGGCATTGATGACTCTGGCTATGGACGTGTCCCGTTGGAGAATGTGAATTACGATACACCCAGGGGTGGAGGGAAAACCAGGGTCAAGGCTGACAATGAATGATGTGCCTCAGAATCGGCGACACCCAGGCAGAGCCGGACATGTTAACTTCCAATAAATCGTTTTTGGAAGTTTGGCTCGAGACTCAGGATTTAATTGGGGGTGACTGCCGGAATCCTGACAGCCTACCTGGTTTCTTGGTTTCCCTCTCCTGTATGGTTCCAAGCTGGTTCACAAAGCTTAACTGAGATTACGGGATTATTTTAGAAACCGGCATCTGGGCCTGGACATCAGATTATGCATGCTTATTTGTTGCGATCCCGAGACCAAGACGAAGACTTCAAGTGTTGTTTCAGACTGCCTTTGTGTCTCTCCATTGGCACAATTAACCCTGGTGGCTTAATTGGAAATGCTTTTCCGTCATCAAAATGGCTTCAATCTAGTTTTCCACGGCTAATCTGAAACAAACGCTGTGCCAAAGGTTGGACCCGCCTGCTGTGAAAAATGAGCCAGCGGGCCACAGGCGTGGTGGGTGTCCCCTCCCAATGCTGTTGTCTTCGTTTTTTTTAACCCAAATCAGGAACTCGGTTTGAGTTACGTGGAGCTGAACGCGAGTGACACCCGCAGCAAGAAAAGCCTGAAAGAGGTGGTGGCCGAATCGCTGAATAACACCAGCATCAAAGGATTCTGCTCTGGTATTTTCTTCACTCTGATCACGACAGGGTTTTTGTTCTTGTTCTGGTGAAAAGTTGGAAAATCTAAATGGAGGCGGTGATCCCTGTTTATGATTAAATGGCAGCCAAGCGCATAAGACCATAAGCCAGGGGGTGTCAAACTGGATTTCTTCGAGGGCCGGATCAGCATTGTAGTTCTCATCTGCAGGCGGGGGGGGGGGGCGCAGAGGGTTGGTATGGCCAATTTTGGGGGCATTTATTTCAGTCTTTATCAGCCCGGTTTTCTTCCTGTTGTGTGTCTGTTTTGTGGCCCTTTTTCACCCTGTTTGAGGCTCATTTTTCAGCCATTATGGGCCCGTTTTTTCAGCCCAATTTTTGGCCATTTTTCAAGTCTTTTTTTGGCCTGTTTGGGCCCAGGTTTTGCCTATTTTTCACCCTGTTTTGGGCCGGTTTTTCAGCTGTTTCAGTGCATCTTTTGGCCTGTTTTCCAGCTGTTCTGGGCCCTTTTTTCAGCCTGTTCTTTTGGCCTGTTTTTAGGCCCCTTTTGGCCTGTTTTGGACCCTGTTTTTCAGCCTGTTTGGGCCCTGTTTCTCAGCTATTTTTTCAGGCCGTTTTGGGCCTGGTTTTTGGCCTGTTTTTCAGCCTGTTTTGGACCCAGTTTTCAGGCCATTTTTGGCCGGCAAAGTGCTGCTGGAGGCCATGGAGGGTGAAAACAAGGTGCGAAGGGACTGCACATGGCCCATTTTAGCCGCCAGAGCCACCGCGGGCCAGTCCTTTGATATTTGCAGGCTGGCCCCTCAGGCTGAATTTAAGCACCCCGCAAACCAGTCACAGGCCTTGAGTTTGTCACTATAATTCAGCGTCAAACAAGCAGTTCTACAACTGAATCCCTCAGTAATCCGATTTCCACATCATTTCTTTCGGTTTCCCCTCCTCCATCCTTAGGGGTGTCCCGTTCTGTCAGTGCAAAACACGTCCTTCTGATGGATGAGGTGGATGGGATGGCTGGCAGTGAAGACAGAGGTGGGATACAGGTAAGGAACGCATGAACCTGACGTGTAAAGGAATACTTAAACGCTTAACTAAAAAAAAAACCTCAAGTCCAACTTGCTTTAATTTACCTGTTTAAAATATATGGGAATCTTAATTTCGTGACAGCATTTGGATCTGCTAGATCCTGTTCAATGCGGACTAATCTGTTGAGTAGTTACTACGCTGGTCCTGGACTTCATCATACCCTGTCTCTTTTTTGCAGGAGCTAATTGACCTTATTAAGCACACAAAAATTCCAATAATTTGCATGTGTAACGACCGGAACCATCCCAAGATCCGTTCTCTGGTCCACTATTGTTTTGACCTTCGTTTTCCAAGACCGAGGGTGGAACAGATCAAGGTAAAGAATTCTTCCCAGAGTTTGTTTTTGGTCTCTTCTCATACTTTGGGGCGGGGGGGGTATTTTCTTGGAGATTACTTTTAGGGAGTGCAGGTGATTCATTGAGCAGTAGAAGCGAATGGCCCCTGGAAGAAAACTAAATTCACGATTTTGCTACTTTCACCTCTAAGTTTGTTGGTGGGTGCCTACATTGTAGAGCGTTCTGCTTGGAACGTTAGGTGATCTGTCATCCTTAAAAATACATTTTTATTTCCAACTACCATGTTTCTCCAAAAATAAGACCCTGTCGTGTGTGTGTGTGTGTGTGTGTGTGTGTGTGTGTGTGTGTATGTGTATATATATATATATATATATGAATGACAGGGTCTTATTTTTGGAGAAACATGGCAGTTGGAAATGTATATGTATATGTACATACATACATACATACATACATGTATGTGTATATATATATATATATATATATATACACACACACATACATATATATACATGTATATGTATATGTATACATACATACACACATACATATATATACATGTATATGTATATGTATACATACATACATACATACGTACATATTTGCCACCAAAAGGCACCAGGTCTTACTTTCGGGGGATGCCATCCTCACTTGCATGCATCACCCCTGGCCTCCTTTTCGCTGTCAGGGACCTTCAGGAATTTCTTCTGTAGCCAGCAAGGCTTTCCTGAAGGGCTCTGCAGCCGATAAGAGAGCTCTGGATTGATCAGCTCCAGAGGCCTTCAGGAAAGTGTTCCCAGCCTTGCTGGCTGCAGAAGAAATGGGCCAGCAAGGCAGGTGTTGAGGTGTGCAAGACCTGGCTACAACTGTCCAAAGGTAACTAGTAGGGTGGATCCACCCCCCTACCCCCCATCTCCACCCTAGCTTAATTTTTACCCCTGCGCTCTGGAGTGGGCAGGATCTTAATTAGGGCTTATTTGGGGGGATAAAACTTATATTGGGCCCACGTGTAAAAATCAAGCTAGGACTTACTTGCAGGGTAGGTTGTATTTTCAGGGCACCGGTCTGTTCATAGATTCATTTGCAGGGTTTGCTTTGGGGAGGCACATGTTAACATGCTGAATACATGTACTGTCTTTGAAAATAAATATAAAAGGCGGTTTATAACTCCTTTAATAAAGCTTGTAGAAATTTTGACTTGTGCCCAAGGAAGTTGCAGCCTTTTGGATTAGTTCCCCCATGTGCTATTTTTTTTTTTTTATACGCACAATCTGAAGTGGCGTTTTTAACCACAGTTTGAAGTTGTCTAATCAAGAAGAAGCAGAACTAAGAATGCAAGTAGTCCTCGATTTACGACTACAGTTGAGCCCAAAATTTCTGTGGTTAAGTGGGGACAATTGTGAAGTGAATCCAGCTCTGTCAATGAACGACACACCACTTTTAAGTCCTGTATGGACCCACAATTTTTCTCCATTTGCTCATAACAAAACAAATGGCTTTTTCAGGGCGCTATGATGTCCATTGCTTTCAAAGAAGGGTTAAAGGTTCCACCACCGGCAATGAACGAACTCATTTTGGCAGCTAATCAGGATATCAGACAGGTGAGTTACCTATCAAGACAGGTTATCTGATGTATAAATCTGTTCATGGTTCCAGAAGCATTTGATTTGATGCAAACTGGAAGCAGGAAGCATTGATAGGGAAAAAGAGGGGTTTTTTTGTTGTTGTAAGAAAAGGAATTATTTTATAAAATAAGGTGACCCGTGGGAAATATTGATTTGTAGCATTTCTTTATCAAAACTTTGCAATGTAGATTTTTTTTCCTTACTCAATGGGCCTTGTGAGCAAGCCTTTGTGCTTTCTTTTTGTCGAAAGGTGTTGCATAATCTCAGCATGTGGTGTGCCAGAGACAAAACTTTGACTTATGACGGTGTCAAAGAGGACGCCAGTAAAGCCAAAAAGGATATTAAGCTGGTAAGTTGATCGAAGGCCCACATCCACGCAGCGTACTTCAGGAAGGGGTTTGGAAGCGTTTAGAAATCCTTCAAGTTCGAAATGACTTGTTTAAACCTTCCTAGAAATGCCCCCAAGGCAACACTTGCAGATGTGTCCAAGCTCTATTTTAAGTCCAGAATACTTATCATTGGAGCCTCATCAGAAAGCCTTTTAGCGGGATTAGAACTACAATTTGATCTCAAAAGTGGAATATCGTTGAACTCTTTAAGGGTTTTAAATTTGAAACATTTCTCATGATGCTACTAAAAACCCAATGGCACCTAGATACAGATCACATTTTTTTAAAAAAGGGAACTGCAGACATCAGATTTTGGCAAGGTTTAAAAGAAGCTCACTTTTACCAAGGAAGAAAGCAAGTCCCTGTTATTGACGTATTTGGCAGTGACACCTGATTGCAATGCAAGCAAGGAAGAGGAAAAAAAAATACAACCCATGATAATGTAAGACAAGGTGGTTTGTAAATTTGAAGAGAAATTGGTTGTTTACTTAAACAACCAGTGCTTTGTGGACATAAAAAAAATCAATATCTTTCAGTAGGCACATAGCAGAAAAATATAATTCAGGATTCTCCTAAAGTTGGAAGTTTACGAGATGGGGGAGTGATTCTGCTCAGAGACCAAAGCCACAAATGAATAGAATAATGATACTACTTATACTTCACATTCTAGATAAGGTATATTTTATATTTTTCAGAGAGTTAGAGATCTATTCTCCACTACTTCCCAGAAGTTCCAACTCACCTGTTGTAAGGGGGTGATAGAAACAAGTGCCAGCTCACCTGCCCAGTGTTTTGTGTGCTTCAGGAGCATCTGATGCAGCCTCGTAGCCGTTTCCCTGAATGACTTTCCTTTCTCCAGGGTCCTTTTGATGTCGTGAGGAAGGTTTTCGCCAACGGAGAAGAGACTTCTCACATGTCTCTCATAGACAAGGCAGACCTGTTCTTCCACGATTACTCTCTGGGACCCCTCTTTGTCCAAGAAAACTACATCCACGTCAAGCCAGCCGCTGCTAGGTAAGTCCCGATGGTTGTTTTTGACAAAGAGTTGTTGGGCATTTAAGACAGCAGTGAACGTTGGCCTCAATACGCGCTTCTCCCCTGCCTTTTTCAGAAACGACTTGAAGAAAGAACTCATCTTACTTAGCAAAACCGCCGACAGTATTTGCGATGGCGATTTAGTTGACCGCCAGATTCGCGCTCGACAAAACTGGAGCCTTCTGCCCACTCAGGTTATCCTGCTCTTTTGTTCTGGTGTAGATTTAGATGCAGTAAAAAAAAAATGGCTTCTTGCAAAAAAAAATAAACATGCGGTCATCTTAAAAGCCAGCTTGGATTATTATTATTTTTCATTATTTTTCTCTGCAAAACCCAAGGGATGTGGTGGTGAGGAGTTGACAGTGCCTTCATGGCAACATTACCAGTTTTGTTTTTATCCCACCTTGATTATTTTTATAAATAACTCAGGGCGGCAAATGTACCTAATGCTCCCGTTTCCCCCACAATCTGTGAGGTGGGCTGGGCTGAGAGGGATTGACTGATCCAAAGTCATCCAGTTGGCTTTCATGCCTGAGGAAGGACTAGAACTCATGATCTGGTTCCTAGCCTGGTGCCTTAACCACTAGACTAGGGGTGTCAAACTCAACTTCATTGAGGGCCGCATCAGGGCTGTCATTGACCTCGCGGGGGGTGGGGCTGGTTGAGCGTGTCCAACTGGGTGGGCGTGGCCAGCTTGATGCCATTCCCCAAACTGCTGGCATGTTTCTTCTTTGCATTGGGTGGACCAGGCTGAAGCCACACTGGCTGGATCTGGCCCGTGGGCCTTGAGTTTGACACTCCTACACTGGACCTAACTATTTATTTATTTGGTTTGTCAATTGCTTACAAGATGATAGGTATAAGTAAAAACATAGTTATGAATACATGGTTATATATAAGAAAAATTAAAAGTAAAAAAAAACAATAGGACAGGGACGGTAGGCACGTTGGTGCGCTTATGCACGCCCCCTGCAGACCTCTTAGGAAAGGGGTGAGGTCAATAGTAGACAGTTTAAGGTTAAAGTTTTTGGGGTTTGGGGAAGAAACCACAGAGTCAGGTAGAGGATTCCAGACATTGACCGCTCTGTTGCTGAACTCGTATTTCCTGCAATCAAGTTTGGTGCGGTTAACCTTGAGTTTGTATCTATTGTGTGCTCTTGTGTTGTTATGGAAGAAGTTGAACTAAGGTTGAAGCTTGGAAAAGAAAAGTATCAGAATTTTACTTCTTCCTAGCATAAGCTTTGAAATATTACTTCATCTAGCATATTTTATTTTATCTGGCATATGTTATCTAGCCTAAGCTTTGAAATATTATTGCAACAGATGTCAGTTTTTTCACTGTTCAGTCATTGTGGTTCAACTGCATAGTAACCAGCAGTTGATTTGAGTAGCACATTTTTTAGGGCTCCAAAGCAGTGCCAATTTACCTCCTTTCAGATTTAGAACTTACGTTTTCTTAAATGCCATGTTTGTTCGAAGAACAACAATTAAGTACGATGTTTATTTTTTGTAAAAACATGCAGGCTTGTATTCTTCATGTTCTCTTTTCGAATAACAGAAGGCCGGGGAGAGTAAAGATACTTCTAAGAGCATTTGAGAGAGCATTCCTATGGATAAGTTGCTCTAGATCAAGAGCTGCAGATGAAATAAACGTTAGATTTGACAAGTATAGAAATCTAGTGATATTTACAGATCTGTTGGGTTCTGGAATAATAATGCTTTTAGAACAGTGTCCCTTTCTATTCGTTTAAAAAGGCAAGAAGAGAAAATAAGAATAATTCTGAATTATTAATTTCCCATTAATGGTCCCATAAACTTTGACCCCCGTTTCTTGCTAGGGAGTTTTAGCTTCAGATATTTTGTGGAGCGGTAGACCTTCTCCCCCACCTGGAATGACCACTGCTGGCTGATGAGGGGGGATCCCTGGAATACTTAGGCATTGGGACGAAGTCCGTGCCGCTCACTACTCTGAAGGGGCTAGTCCCATGCTACTGTGGAACACCATTATTGTACACGGCCTCCCTGAAAGGCAGGAGGTCCCCCAATTGGACTGCTGATAATTCACACAACACCTCAGGTACTGCTCTACCGTGGTGTTCAGTCTCTCTGCCCCCCCCCCCCCCCCGCCGCCACACACAACATTGGTGCTCAGATGAAAGGCCAAACTAAGTTCCTGGGGTGACCCAATAGGCTGCAGAATCTCCTTCCAGAACTTAGCCGTGAACTTTCGGCTTCATTGTTCTTGGTCCTTCGCTCTGCCTCCTCAGCTGTATTTTATCACAAGCAGAGAAAATGCTAGAGCACTTTCCTTTCCTTTTCAGGCCATTTATTCGAGCGTCCTGCCCGGGGAGCTGATGAGAGGCAATTTGCAAGAATTTCCAAGTTTTCCGAGTTGGCTGGGAAAATTTTCATCCACTGGAAAGCATGACCGCATCGTCCAGGAGCTTTCTATGCATATGAGTCTCAGGTAACACAGGCAGTAGTCCTCGACAGACAGCTGCAATTGATTCCAAAATTTCCGTTGCTAAGCGACAGTTGTTAAATGAACACCGTTGCAAAGGGGGTTCTTGGCCAGAGCCGTCACCTGATCCTTAATCAGGAGCTGGGAGACCCGAGTGGTGCCCTTTCCTAGCTCAAGAAGACCTTCCGTCACTCTTGTCCGAATCCCTCCGTGGCTTCGCGCTTGCAATGGCCTGGACGTGGCACTGTCCCTTTAGACCCCGTGGGAACTCAGTTGTCCCGAATGCAGTAGACAGCTGATGTGCATGTCTCAGTGCCCCCTTTGCTTTCATGCTTGAAGGTGCAATTCAAGGTGCTGGCTCTAACCCCTGAAGCCCTACATATAGCCCAGGCCTCTGGTTCTTTGGGGGCCCACCTATCCCCTCCATCGGATTCAATCCCACAGAATTCCTGCGTTCTGGATCCTTTCAATTAAACCATTTCCTCCATCGGGCACACGGAAGCATGCCTTCTCCGCAGGGATCCTTCGAGATTCCCGCAGATCCCACCTCCCTGGCATTCCAGAAGGCCTTAGGTTGATTTGATTTGATTGTTTATTTGTACCCTATGACTGTCACTAAGTGTTGTACCTACGATTCTTGATGAATGTATCTTTTCTTTTTATGTACACTGAGAGCACATGAACCAAGACAAATTCCTTATGTGTCCAATCCTACTTGACCAAATAAAGCATTCGTTCATTCATTCATTCCTGGGCCTCGCGGTAAGGTGGTTCAGATTATGCGTGGCTGCGGTTCACCAGATCTGCCATCCTTTCTGGCCGTTACTTTCTCGTTTCGTAATGGTTGCCTTCCTTTCTCATTTTATCGGTGTTATTGTACGTTCTCCAGAGTTGGAGTCGGACGGGGCTTCCGGCAAAGTCTGGGCGCATTCCAGCTTCTGGCTAAAATATATTCCTCCTCCCTCCTTGGCAGAACGCACGCGAGTAAGAGAGACGTCAATCTGGACTACCTGTCCTATCTGCGAGATGCAGTGGTGAGTCCGTTGGCTCGCCAAGGCTCTGACGGAGTCCAGGACGCTGTTGCCTTCATGGATTCTTACTGCTTGTTGAAGGAAGATGTCGAAAACCTCATGGAGGTCACCAGCTGGGCAGGCAAGCCCAGTGTGTTTTCCAAATTGGATTCTAAGGCAAGTGACCAGTTGGTTATCCCTGCCTGTCAATGCATTGGGTTGACTTCTTGAAAGAGGAGCTTTGAGAAAGACCAGTGATCAACTTCAAAATACATAGTCTGCTCCCAAGGGATATAGTAAATTAAACACACACACATACACACACAGATATCAAAACCCAGGTGATTGTGGCAATTGACGTTCGCGGTTAATTGCCAGGGACGCAGAAAAAAGTGTGATCTTTCTGCCACTTAGAATGCCTTGCACGTTATGTCTCTTAGTCACCAGAATAGTACAAACACCGGCTTGTAAAAGAGAATGCTGAACTTACTCGTCTGCAGCCAGGGGTGTCAAACTCAGTTTCATTGTGGGCCACATCAGGGCTATGGTTGACCTTGGAGGGGGGCTGTGGGGGGGGACGGGACTGGGCAGGCATGGTCAACTTGATGCCACTCCCCAAACTGCTGGCATGTTTCCAGTGGTGGGATTCAAAAATTTTGAGTACTGGTTCTCTGGGCGTGGCAGGGGAAGGTTACTGCAAAATCCCCATTCCCTCCCCACCCCACTAACCTGCTTTCCAGCTCCGTTCTCCTGGGCAGGGCAACCAAAGAAGACCTAGCCAATCATCTGGGACTCAATGGGAGGCAGAGAAGAGATGGGGGTGGGGCCCAGTCAGAGGTGGGATTGGCCGGTTCTCTGAACTACTCAAAATTTCCACTACCGGTTCTCCAGAACTGGCTAGAACTTGCTGAATCCCACTTCTGCATGTTTCCTCTTCTCACTGGGTAGACCGGGCCAAAGCCATGATGGCCTGATGTCTCCTCTTTGCAGGGGCAGACCGGGCCAAAGCCATGCCGGCCTGATGTCTCCTCTTTGCAGGGGCAGACCGGGCCAAAGCCATGATGGCCAGCCCCTTACATTTTCCAGGATGGCCCTGCAGGCTTTGTGTTTGACACCCCTGGTCTAAAGCAGATCAGAATGTGGGTTTCATTGACTCTCCAGCCAGCTGCTTTGGTAGTGGAACTAGGCAGGTGTTCAATGGTAATTCTTTGATGTAGTATTCAGGAGAGGTGGCTCTTGCAGGTAAACAAACACAAAAAAGGACATGAAACTGATTTTTGGAGGGTTTTTTTTTGTGGGGGGGGCCATAGCCATATCACAAGAGGAGCTGATTGAGGGTCTTGGAAATCTTTTTGTTTTGACTTGACATTCTTAATTCTCTTTTGATATGCTTTCTTTTCTGCATCCTATCTGAAAAATTCAGCTTTTTTATTGTTGTAGTTCAGAAAATACCAGGCTCGGCACGCTACGTCCAGTGTATTAAACACACACACACACACACACACACACACACACACACACACACCATTTTCCCATATTTTAGGAAATAATCTCAAAGAGCTCTATCGGTTTGTGTCCCTTGTGGAAGATTTTAAGCTTATTGGACTCCTTTACTCCATGGGAGGGGAGTTCAGCATGGAAAAAACTTCAAAGAGAAGAAAACACATGCCATTCTCTTTCGTTTGCATGTTACTGGCAAAGGTTGAAAATGTCATATTTTGTTAGCGTATATCTAGCACTAGTAAACTTTCCACTGAGAAATTTCAGGTAATTTGCAAGATATTGCAGAGTTTTCCATAGACTCATTGAACATAGATATAGATATATATATGTTTTGTTGGGAAGGTTTCCCAGAACGTACATATATGCTGGGTTGCTCCTGTCTCATTCAGATAAAAGTCCCCTCACCGTCTATGTCAGCATTACTCTCACTCCAGTGTGCATTGTTCAAGTGCAAAAACAGGTGCTGGTAAATATTAGTCAGGAAATGAACTTATTCCTGTGGTATTTTTGCAAATGGCAAATAGTAGTTGCTAAACGAGGAGTCACTGTAATGCAGTTTGCACCTCGTTAATAATTGCTGAACCAAAAATGCTTACAAGTCTTCATTGGTTTGGCCGCCACAGGTTAAATCGGCGTTCACGCGCACCTACAATAAAGTTGCACATCTTACGCCATACTCCCTGCAACTTGCACCAAAGTCGAAGCGAGCGGGCTCAGTGGACATGGAAATGAGTGAAGAACTGGAACTGAACGAACCCGAGACCGATCAAGGGAGCCTGGAAAGCGATGCAATGATTAAGGTACCACCCCCTTCGTCAGCGCATTTAAACATGCAAATTCACAGGCGGTCCTCCGCAAAGGACCACGTGCTTAGAGACCTGTTTGAACTTACAGCAGCGCTAAACCAAATGGGCCTTGCGAACGGTTCCTCAAAGTTCCAGCCGCCATAGCATAGAAATGTTTTTACCGTTGACTTAAAGACCGATCTGTACAATGTTTTTGAATAGGTTTTTGGTTCTAGAATAGTCATGGTTTATTCTCCCCACCACCTTTTTAATTGTTGTCTTCCCCCCCTCATATTTTGCTTGCATTTTACTTCCATGCCTTGTGATTTGCTAGTTGTTTGGAAAAGTTAGGTGTATAGTAGGGTGTCCTTTTGGGTTTTTTTTTTTAAGTAAATAGGTGGAAGGGTTTGCAACCGAAAAGTGGATTAGTGAGTTTAGCTAGAGGCACTGTGATTCGGTTTACATTTTTAAAAAAATGTTTTCTTTTTGACAGAAAAAGACCAAACCTGCCAAGCCACCAAAAGCAGAAAGAAAGGAAGAAAGGAAAAAAGGAAAATCAAAGAAAAAGAGCTAAATAAAATTGTCTATGCAAGCTTACTATTGGACTGTGGGCACAGTAAATGGTTGGGCAAACCAGTTGCCTTGTTAACACTGCACAGCAACGGCAGATATATATAGATCTATCTTTTTTGCAGAAAAAGAGGCAAACAGAATTTATATTGTTCAATTCCTGTAAATACAGCAGGAGGCTCAGCTCTCTGGGAGAAAAAGAGTCCAAGCTGCTAGTGCTTCCCTTCACAAAGCTTTTTTTCTTTTTAAAGAAAGGCTCATTATGTTGCTACCCATGTATATAACAGATAATGAACAAACCCTAATCAGTAGTTCTTTTTTGTATATGAAAGTGCAGCACCGTGTAAAAGTTGCAATAAAACTAGTTTCATATTTTTAACCAGTTTTTATTTTTATTTTAAATGCATTGCACGTTGGAAGCTGATCTCTAGCAGTTGCTTGCACAAGTGACTGAATTCGGTGACTACCTGACCAGCAGAGTCAACGGGGGTATCCAGATTTACTTAACAACGGTGTCACAAACTTATCAACTTAATAACCGTGGCAAGAAGGGTGTTAGGATTCCAGCAGTCGCTCTAATGAAATCATGAACCACGAGCCAAACTTCAAAAAACATCAAAGGATTCATTAGAGGCGACATACTGGCACTGCCCTGTATGAAGCCAATTTATGGCCTGCATCATTTCCAGTCCCCTGTGCCCCTGTCCCCCCCCCCCCCGGGTATGTCATAAATCAGATTCTCCAATTGAGCACGTTCAAGGGCTGGGTGTCATCAATCACGTTCTCCAATTCAATATATTCCCGGGCAAAAACTGGTAGCTTAGTTACAATCTTTTAAAGATAAAGAGTTGGAATGTACTTTCACTTCCCATCCTTTTTTATGGCAACTACTAAAACAGGCATAGGAATGTTTTATGAGTTGACAAAGGATGGTAAAATGGGGCAAACTCAATAAATGTCTCACTGAACAACAGAAATTTGGGGCTCCGTTGTAGTCGTAAGTCGAGGGCTGCCTGTGTTCGTCGTCGTTTACTTGAAGTAACTTGCGTGGCATCTTGAGCCGCACCATTTCGCTAAGGACCGGCTTGGTTTGTTAAACTTCAGTTGCTCCATTTTAGATCGAAGAGGAGCTGTCAGTGCTCATTTTTCAACCGTACAGCGCATCCTTGCAGACTGGGGAGTCGGTGCCCTCGATCACGCCCCGATGTCTCATCTTCACTCCTTTGGAGCTACACATTAAGCGTACAGGATTGCGATTTATGTGACTGCCAATGTATCGGCACAAGGGGTCCCAAGCAGAAAAATCAGTGGGCAGAATTGGCGGTATCGTGGAAGAGGGCCCAGCACACAACCCATGTCCTTCCACACACACAACACATTGTGGAAAGCAAGCAAAAGAATCTTGGTTGCGTAGAAGAAGCAAAACAACTTGGGAGGTATGTGTATGGAGATGAGCGCACATGAGAGAATAGGCCAGTTACTGTTTTAGATACAAACAAATGAAGGTACTTTAATATTCTAAACATGAAAACGAAGATTGGGCCACTTGATTGAAATTATTGCTCCACTTCTGGCTTCAGGTACGGTGTGCAATCAGCTGTTCTGCTTAGGCTGGCGGCCTCGACTTTTTCTGAACACATGGGACATGCGCCTTCGCTCTGCAACAAACTGTTGAAAGAAGACACTTTCACTACCTCCCACAATGAGCATCATCCATGCAGGTTGCAAAACATTATACTGGCATCTGGGTTTGCTGTCTGCCTCTCTGTCAACAGATTCACTTCAGTGTCTTAAAATGGATGATGATTTAGGTTTCTCCAGTTGATAGAAAAGGAATAAAATTGGCAGAGTGAAAATCTACCAATTTATTATTATTAGTCAAAATAACCAGAGGCTAGATGTCCCAAAACATTAATTATGTCCATGTTTTTCAACAATCTAGACATTTTTAAAATACAGAGAGAGGACTGGGAGAATGTCAAATAGAAAGAGAATATATACTTTGTCACTAATTTGACATACCATATAATATTTTGTCAGGCCATACAATATTTTTGGTACAGTCAATGTACTGTCTAACATTAGAAATGTCCAGACAGATTCATAGACGAGATCAGACACCTCTGTGTGTAGGTACAGACACACACAAAGCAAACTCGGTTTATTTATGATTTGTGAAAAAATTTATAGCAAAGGTTTGCACATTTCAACAACTTAAATCGAAGCAGGTGTTAATTTTAGGGAGAAAGGTTTTTTCCCCCATTTAAATTTATCTGCCAATTACAATATTTCTAAAAGTATCACCTCTCTGCTGATAGCAGACGTTATCCCAGATACTCAAGGAAAATGTTCAGCAAAAAAAGTAAGAGGTCTATGTAGTTATTTGCCTATGCAAATTGGTTTAAAGTCAGAGCGATATTTCCTAACTAAAAATTATTATGTGATCCTAATCAATCATCACTTAATAAATAAAATCTCAAACACAGATGGATATATGCTGTCAGATCAGTCCTAATGCAACCAATGGGACATTTTTGTAATGGAGCTTCTGGCAAAAATTGGTTCTGCAAACACAAACAGCAAAAAAAAAAAACCTTTTCTTTCTTTGGCTGCTTATTGGCTGAAATAAATGATTTAGGAAGATGAAAAAAAGTATGTGAAAATGGTCAACAGCCAGATAATATGAGCAGGACTGATTTCGACTTGGTAGAAATCTGAATTTTGTGGCAGGAAAACGTTCTTGGCATATAATTAATCAGAGAGTGAAAAAGGTTGCAACTCACATTTTGAACTCTGAGCAGAGCGCCGGGAACTCACAACGGGGGCACAGAGTCCAGTCATCTCTGACCATATGTCGTCCCTAGAAGAATTGCAAGGGGGCGCCGCGTCAGGTTTCATTGGGAAGGGAAGTTAAGTGCCTTGCTTGGAAGTAATTACAGGTAATCCTCAACTTACAATAATTCATTTAGTCACCAAAGGTGTAACAGCACTGAAACAACTGACTTATGAATCCTTTTTCACGCTTATGACCGTTGCTGCATCCCTGTGGTCACATGATTTACATTTGTATGCTTGCCAACTGGTTCATGTTTATGACGGTCGCTGTGTCCCCGGGGAGGGGGGGGTGTCACGTGATCCCCTTTTGCGACCTTCCGACAAGCAAAGCCAACGGGGGAAGCCAGATTCACTTAACGACTTAACGACAGTGGCTACTGACTTAATAACGGCAGCACTTCTCTTAACAAATGTGGGCAAGAAAAGTCATAAAATGGGGCCCAACTCCCTTGACAAATGTCTCACTTAGCAACAGAAATTCTGGGCTCGATTGCGGTCGTTGAAGACTGCCTGTATATTATCTATCTATCTATCTATCTATCTATCTATCTATCATCTATCTAATCTATCTCTATTAATTTAATTTATTTATTTTATTCATTTATTTATTTTATTTATATTGCCACCTATTTGCCCATGGCGACTCGAGGCAGCTTATTCAATGGAAAACCATATTTAAAACAAAAAATAAAAAAACCAATAAAAACTAACAACATGAATCAAATAAATTATTAAGTACAATAGAACAAAATCTGGAATAAATAAATAAATCACCCCCCCACCAACTCCCACCCCCCACCCTGAGGACAGCAGATCACACTAACCACCTGATGGGCTCCATCCCACTCTGGGCCACCCAGGCCCGCTGGCAGAACCAGCTCTTCAGCGCCTTCTGGAAGGGCGTTAGAGAAGGGGCCATTCCAGTCTCTGGGGGGATGATGTTCCAGAGAGACGGAGCCACCATGGAGAAGGCCCTTCCTTCTGGGTCCCACCAGGTGTATCTCCCTCAGGGATGGGACCCACAACATTCCCTGCCTCCCTGCTCTGATGGGTCGGGTAGATGTGACTGGCAAGAGACGGTCCCTCAGATAACCTGGTCCCCAGCCATGAAGGGCTTTAGGGGGACAACCAGCACCTTGAATTGCACCCGGAAGCAAAATCGGCAACCAATGCAGCTCCTGTAGGAGAGGTGACACGTGTGCACCTTGGGGTCTGCACAAAACCATGCGGGCCGCTGCATTTTGCACCGCTTTCCATGAGACCTTGAGGCTTTTTGAAGCACAAAGCTCAGATTCCCAATGCAAAGGGGTGGCCCTCGGAGGCTCAGCTTCAGGAGCGGAAAGGCGGGAAAATCCGAGCCCTGGGAGTTGCTCACCATGGACTCACCGTCGCAATGCAATAGGGGAGGTTGTTCTTACAGCCTGGGCATAGAAGCTCGCATTCGGGGAGCATGAAGTCACAATACGGGCACGGCGTGGTGGGTTCGTCCCCTTCCCCTTCGGAGCTGTCCGGCCGCCTGATAGCAAAATAAGAAGCCCATTAAGATCGATTTTTTTTTTAAACTTCTCAGTTGCTTTCCTTGCCTAAAAATTATATTCTGTGCTCCAGTATAGTCACGTCGCAAGAATTTCCGTTAAGGTTCTTGGCCCTCCGATCTATTTTCAATTTGATTAGAGCCGCGGTGGCGCAGTGGTCAGAATGCAGGACTGCTGCTAATTCTGGTGCATGCGGGGCTTCCAGCAGTTTGGCAGTTCGAATCTCACCAGGCTCAAGGTTGACTCAGCCTTCCGAGGTGGGTAAAATGAGGAACCAAAATTGTTGGGGGCCAGAGGCTGTCTCTGTAAACCGCTCTGAGGGGGCTGTAAAGCACTGTGAAGCGATATGTAAGTCTTAAGTGCTATTGTTATTGATTGTTGGGAGGGGTTATCTCCTTGCTCCATATTTTGCTAGCTAAAACAAATCTAGCTAGTTTTAACAAAACAAATCTAGCTTCTTTCAGACTCAATAAGCTCACATAGGAATGTGGGGAAACATCAATGCTCTGCTGATTGGTCTGGGAGCAACCTCACTGTTGGCTTATCAGATTCAGTAAACCTCAAGGTGCACTTGACTTGGTGGTACATGTTCCTGGCGTTTTTCGGCTAATTCACCACTGCCTTCTTCCAACAGATCTACAAGCCAAGGATTGACCACCATTCAGTCAGAGCTGAAGAAGCCTCTTGAATGAGAAGCAAAACGTCTTCAAAGGAAAACAAGAAAGTCCAGTGTTGCCTCTTCAAAAAGGCACCTTTTGGGACAGCTGCCATGATTCACTTAACTGTGAAAGGTCGCAACATGGGGCAAAAATTCACTTAACAAATGTCTCGCTTAGCAACAGAAACACTCGCCACAATTGTGCCTGTAATTCAAGGACCACCTATGTTCACAGGATAACAGACTAAATCAGCATAGACAAGATTGTCATAAGAGTCCAGTTATGCACCAATGCCTTCCTAAACCTTGGTTAGACAGAATAACCATAAGCTCACCGGACGAGTGTTTCAA